GGGGCCCCGGCCTTGGGTGCGCCGCCCGCGCCGGAGGAAGCCAGGCCGGGCAAGGCCGCTCTGGGCTGGCCCGAAGGCGCGGAGCGCGGCGCCGCGGGCAGGGCGCGGCGAGGCGGGCGAGCCCGAGCCCGGCCCGCGGGCTGCCCGGGGCACGGGCGCGATCCGCCGGGCGTGACCGGGCTGCACCGCGGGCCCTCGCTCCGGGGAAGCCCAGCTGCTCCTCTCGGGTCCCCGCGGACCTCTGGCCGTCCACCTTTGACCCTGTCCCTCCTCCCAACCCCGCTGTCCCTAAACTCTGCGCGAACCCGCCGCCGCCCTCCCGGGACGCTGGGCTACTTTTTATTTCAAAGCGAAACGAGCCGAGGCGTCCCTGCGGCCCCGAGAACTTTCCGCAGATCCTCTCCTGCCCTTCCCGGGGCTGCCCCGGCCGAGCCGAGCCCCCTCCGGAGCTCTCGGACCCTGCGCCGGGCGCCGAGCGAGGCGAGAACCCAGAAGGGACACCAGGTGGTTAGGTGTTGAGTGTTGGGAGCAAGAAGTAATTAACATTGAGACAAAAGGTAATTTCCACTTCCAGACTTTTCCCCGGCGTGTTTGAGTTCCCACATCTATGCTGCGGACGCTCGGGGCTTGGCAATGGGTTTGCTGAGCCTCCAGCTGTCTGTCCCGCTCCCCCATTCACTGAGGACACCCCAGCCCCCTGTCCCCACGTGCCACCAGCTCCAGCCCCGCCCCAGCCCGAGGGGAAAGGGCCCCAGTCCCGGGACGGTGCTCCCGGGGGCTGCAGCTGTGCACAGGGAAGGAGGCGGCACAGGTCTCAGCGCGGGACACCCTCACATCACCCAGACGCGCCCCGTCCAGCCGCCCGCCCTTCCCAGTGTGTGTGCTGGGTCCTCCCCGCCCGGAGGCTACTTAACAGTCACTCAGTTAACTAACATTCGTGTTGAACTCTCAGCTCCTTTCCAAAACACACTTCCGCCTGGTACCGGGGTCTGTCATTTCGTGTGAGTGGGGAGGGGGATGGTGGGGGGCATGGGTGCCTGTAAGGGGGAGACTTGAAGTTGACAGTGAATCGGGAAGAGCAGGGCTTCTTTGGGAAGGCGTCGCCAACACACTGTATTTACAATGAAATAATTCAAGAAGCCGTCTAGGGGAGAGAGGCAGATCTCATTACTATGAAAAAAAAAAGGTACGTTTTCCTGAGAACTAAAAGTGGGTATTTAAAATCTGAGGACACTCACTTTGATGGTGAGAGTGAACTAGATGAGATGAAATTCAGGAAGGAAAGACATTTTGAGTGTGTGTGTGTGTGTGTGTGTGTGTGTACAGTGTTTGTGGGCAGTCAGACCCGCCGTTCGCGAGCTCCCTCCCCTCCCCCAACCTGGCTCTTATCTCTTTGTGGTCTTCTTCTTTTTTTTAATCATAAAAATGTCCCCCTCCTCCTCCCGGGTCTCTCTTTCTGTACTTCCATATCCCTGTATATGTCTCTTCCCACAGCCCATTTATTTGCTTTAACTTCAGACTAAATCGGTTTTACCGTTTTGTTTTTTTTTCCTGGCGGTCTGACCTGTTTTTATGTGTGTGTTGGGGGGTGGGGTAGTCATTATGTAAAGTTAGACACAGGTAAGGTGAGGAAGGGGAGGGAGGAGTTCTAGAGGGTCTGAGGAGGGAGCTGGGGAGGGGGAGGGCCGGGGAAGCGGGAGAGAGGAGTCAGACGCCCTCTGGCCTTTCAGAGGTCAGGGCTCAGACGGCGCTCTGACCTCCTTTCCCTCTAGGCAACCAGCCCAGTGTTTATAAACAAAGTCAAGCAGGACTGTTCACAAGCACTCCGCAGCTCGTATGCAAATTAATGGGGACTCCA